CTTATAATTTCTGCCATGATTTTGCTTTGTGTAACTCATATTTGAAGCGTATTTTTTGGATGAGGAAGAAATAGAATATTGCACTTTTAAGATGCATTTCCAATGTTTTTATATTTATGTTAAACGTGTGAAATGGGTAGACACATAGAGACAAATAAACTAACAATGAAGGGCGAGAAGCAAATCGACAAGAAGCCACGAAAACAGTTTCTGTATAAACAGGATGCACAAGCCAGCCGGATAATTATACGCTAAATAATGTACAAATTAGAAATTATTTTCCCTACAGGGTACTTCCCCCTAAAGAGGGCATTCTCCTCCATACCAGAAATCGAATAAGTTCTTGCAGAATGCAAAGGAGGATAACATTTTTTATAGTATACTATGCATTTATTAATACGGACTAAGGGAGGTTACCTGTTTTCGATAACATTGACCCAGCTCACGAGCATTCCAGGCGTTATTGTAGGATACAATGGTACAGGTCAACACTTCACGATGCTGGATGTAATTTCGAAAGGAAAGAATGCTACGGAGGTTATAACGCCAAATGGGGGTTCATTTATAGTATTTTGAGCCTAGATGTGAGGCCATTTTCGGGTGGACTATTTTTTCCATCCCTTCACATTCGAAATTCTTTTCCGCATTGACGTAGAATGGATGTCTTCTGTGTATTGAATAATTGGAGACGCCTCTTTGGATGATCATTAGGGCAATTTGCTATGGGCGTTATATTGCGAAACTGTGGCATTTCTTGTTCTAGCCCTTTATGAAAGAATTACATAATATGATCTAAAATTAGTTCCCCCCTGAGACATATCTCTTATGACATATGCCATCATACAATTATGCAATCTTCATTTGCTCAGAATTAGGGAATGGAATGTATCAGTAATAGGAGCAGAATAATAGTTGGAAAAGAAGAGAAAGATTACTACGCAATGCACGCGTTATGTATAGATAAATAAAAATAAATCAAAATAAATAAGAATAAATAGAAATAAATAAAAATAAATAGAAATAAATAAAAATAAATAAAATTAAATGAGAATAAATCAAGATAAATGAAAATAAATAAGAATAAATAGGAATAGATAAAAATAAATAGAAATAAATAAGAATAAATGAGAATAAATCAAGATAAATGAGAATTACCTTCCCATTATATTATTTGCGTAATTTACACATCTTTTACAGGGCACCTCTTATTCCTAAAAGGTCGTCAATGAAGAAATATTTTTGGCATTATCACAGATGGATTAAATTATTATTCTTAACTTAATATGTTAAAAGAATATATTTGCTATTCTCTATTTTTTTTCTTTTTTCCTGGTTACTTCGTTCTATATTTTTCAGCAAATATGCTACGACAAGCGGAATATAAGTCAATAGGAATATGCTCCTTAATTAAAATCCTAAGATAGTGGAAGTTCCGTATGGCATTTTAGATGAGGTTACACATCCCCCAATAATGAGAAAATAGAATTTCTGATGCATCCCGCATTAGTGACATGTGAAGGTTCTTAATAAATTACACCACAAATTAGTCTTTGGGTCTTCAGATTCATACGCATAATAGGTTTATTTTTACGAAAAAAAGAAAAAATAATTTTCTGCAGGATTTATTTACTCGTAAGAAACAGTTTCAAATTTTCCCAGTGATAATAAAATAATTGTAAATTTTTCTTAATCCGCTCTATTCTCCTACGACACCATGGTATTCAATTTATGGCCAATATAATGTAATGTTAATATAAAAATCAAATCAGGAGATCATCCATTCGGAATATGGCATCCAAAATATGATATAAATGCCGCTATATACAATTCTAACAACTTCAGAATTACTAATTATCAGGAAAAATATTGGATCTGGGAATAATCTTAAAAATCTGGGAGCAATCTGATTTTATTCTTCTTACTTTATTTTGTGTTATATGTTAATTAAGGTATGTATTTGAAGAAGGTTGTTTCCTTTTATAAACATTGCTCGCGAAGATATCTTCCTGCGTATAGCTCAGCAATATACACGTATATGTGCTTGCATATATTTTTTTCTTTTTCTCATTTGTCTTTTGTATTTAGGAATTCCTTTTATTTCTGTGTTGTATAGAGATGAGTGTTTTTCCTTCCGTTTTTTCCTTTGTCCCTTTTTGTGCTTCCCCTTTTATTTTTTCACATCTGATTGTTTTACTCGCTTTTTTTTTTTTTTTTCTCCTTGTAGCTGCTGCCCGCTGTATGATTTTTTTATGTTCAACTTTAAGAGTCTGTATTTCATGTCATCTATAATTTTTCCTTTTTGATTTTTTGTAGTTGTCGCGCGCTGTTTGATTTTTCTATATTCAATCTTAAGAGTCTGTATTTCATGTCATCTATAATTTTTCCTTTTTGATTTTTTGTAGTTGTCGCGCGCCGTTTGATTTTTCTATATTCAATCTTAAAAGTGTGTATTTTATGTCATTTATAATTTTTCTCTTTTTCTTTCCTCTTTCTGTTTTCTTGCTTTTTTTTTCTTTAATTATATCATACATGTTTCATTTTCAATTCGGGAAAAATAACTAAGTGGACTCTTTTTTTTCTTTTTCTTTTCTTGGTTATACGCAGTAACCTTTTTATGTATCTTTTCCGCTTCCTTAGATATAGGGACAGAAAATGGAGAGTAATCTTTATTACTATAACGCAAGTTTCTTTTTTTACTTTTAAAAATTTATTGTCATTAAATGATTTCTCCCCTATAAGACTTAAGAGCTGTGTACAGATGCATTATTATATACAGAGTAGATTTCTCTACGTATATTTATTCATGTAGGATATATGAGAAAGAAATAAGAAGTGAAGGGATTCCTTTTCTTTTCACTCCCATGTGCCACGGTGTGTTATTCCTTGGGGTGATTATTTTTGTGAGGATGTCATCAAATAAGAAATCTAATAGAATGGGACTGAATCCGACATCTGCCGTAATATATACATATAGAAAGAATAAGCGCAGTACATATTAATAATTTTCTTAATGTGTGAAGGATATCAGATTCTAGCAGACATACGTGTTGAATGTTACTGTTGAAGTGGGACATTTCTTCGCCGAGCAGGCACTAAATTTAACTGAGCACTAGAAGTACCAGAATGAATATATATGTAATGAAAACGCACAAAGAAGGGCAGGAAACTCGGATGACGAAATTAAGGACAGCCCACAACATATTCCACAGAAAAATGATAATACAACAGAAACAGAATCAACGGGCTATTTTCCTGAAATTGAAAACAGCCTGTATCATAACCCTCTACCAAATTACAATACTAAACAGAGGGAATTAGCACACCCTTATTTCAGAAATTATAGACAAATTCTATGAGGACAGAGAGAGAAGTGTAAGAACAATAGATGAATTTTACTAAAATTCGTATGACCCACCCTAGTTAATTGAACAATAGTACATCGTTTTCCATAGCTTTAAAAAAGAAGATATAAATGAAATAATCAATTCGGTGAATGATAATTTATTCAGGGAGGGTATGCTTGAGAGAAGCATAGAGCTGCCCGAAAATGCAGAAAGGGTGTTGCAGACGATGAAGGATCATTTATCATATTATTTGGGAAAATTAACATGTATGTATAGCGTGGATGGAAATATTCAGGAGGAACAGGTGCGGAACAACAATCATACTATTCACGCAACCATGAGGATCCTGGAGGAGTATAAAAATAGGCTGTTTTTCTACTACATCATAAGGGATAATTTGCCCACGTACCATCATGACTCTTTTATAAATGTGCATAGGAAAGCGTTTACCTTATTCATAAATGAGCTAGTTATTATGGAGGAGTCTCAGTTAAATGGATGTGTACTCGAATCAAGGACACTTATGGTGGAAGCCCACAGATGAGGGTTGCGAAAAACAGGCTAAGCAGCATGTACACATGTATATGAATATATAAGCTGCTAACGATAGCAAGCATAAATATTCTTGTACCTATATGCTTATATATACACTTATCTGATAAAGTTTTCTTTATTCGGAACAGGAGCCAAATGGATTATACAGCACCGTTTCAGCAATGATCGGTGCTCAAATGGCATCGTGACTCTATTTTTTGCCATGGAAAAGTATTTAAATATTGGAAGACAAATATATGTGCTGTGTGTATTTTGAACCATGTAGTGAATTAAATTTATGTGTAAAGTTTGTCAATTTTCGTTTCTTTAAATCCTGATATGAGACTCATCATCGGATCTTCTAAACTGTGTTAGGTGTTTCCTGCTGTTTCTATAAATATTTATACATACATCATATGCGTAGTTTCATACGAATAGAATTTTACGATTACATCTTCTGAAATTTCTCAGGGGGGATTCTGTATTTTACTGCCTAATTGCAGTAACGATTTAAAGAATTAATTCCTCTATATGGTGATATGTCTCATTGCGCATATAAAATAGCTGATTGGAATGGAAGTGATATTTTGAGGCTGTGTCATACCAGTGAGAATTCCCCTAATTCTAAGGTAAAAGTAGAAGGAGTATGACACCTGAAATAAGTGTACACATATAAATTAGGCATACTACCGTAACCTCAGATGTCAATAATGCTACTACGCTTCATTCTTTTCGGTTAAATTTAGCATAATGTTTATATAATATGTTTTCAACTCGTACGAATTGCATTGAT